TAAGTGTTGCCAACCTATTTCCAAGCGTACACGGATTACGTGCATAATAAAACCACGCTGTTTTGTGTTGTTTGGTTGGAATCCTGATGTGCGGCAAAGTATAAACCGTGCGGCAAAGTATAAACCGTACGGCAAAGTATAAATATGCAGCAATTATCAGCTTTCTGTACTATAAACAGTACAGGGAAGCCAACTTTGTCGGGTGACTGTAGGAAAAAATAATTAAACATAGATTGCGGTTGTGCTGCGATTAGCATAGGTTCTGACGTCCACCGATGGGAACGCCGTATACGGCGTACGCTGTAGCTACACGGCGCTCCCAGCAGTGGACGACAGAACCAATGATAATCGCAGCACGGCTGAATGTCTATATTTAATTCTTTTTGTCTATGGTACTACTTCAAAATTAATCATAATGTATTGTGTTTGGGTTGCATTTGTCTAAAAACTATAGGAAAATTATAACAATCAAATAAGAGCTAAACATTGATTGAACATGTACACAATTACTGAAAGAATATTTCACTGCCTTACAGTTATTCTACCACCATTTCAAAAACATATAAAAAACCATCAACCACCATCCGTTTAAATAAAAAAAAACCATCAATATGAACCAAAGTAGGCAACCCTAAATATTCAATCATAGGCTTTTAGTTTTTTACGTAGTTTCCAACCTGCAAAAACCGAAAAACTGTCCATGTCACTTACATAGTGAAAAATGCAAACGGTGAAAAAGTTCCACTAATAGAAGAAAAACTGTGAATGTTTGATAGGAAAACTAAACAGTGGCGGGAGAAACGTCAACGCAAAAACCGCTGAACCGAAACCACAGCGATGCTTCAACCGTGGTGAACTGTGGTATCCTGTGGTGTACTGTGGTGAACTGTGGTACTAGTGTGGCCATAGATAGTGGTGGAGTAAGTGGTCCATCGAGCTCACTTCACTTTTCCATTTGTAGGGTTTCATATGGAAAAAATGTCTGCGTTAACGTTTCTTTAGTTTATGATTCAACAATTTGAAATGCCCCGCTGTAATTTATGAATTTAAAATATGTGGAAAATCTGTCTTTTTTGTGTTTGTATATACTACGTTTGTAGCATTATATGTTTATACAAATATAGTAGAACCATGGTTATTTGATTATTACAGTACAACCTATAACTTAATAGCTTTATTAATACAGGGACATATTAATTGTATTTATTGTTGAAAATGAATGTTGGATCTGCTGTACCATTGTTAGCGAGTTCAGCTATTTCAATAAACAGGACAACTTTTTAAAAGCCCAGTATGCAAGAAGACCTTGATCCAGAAAGCTACGAACATTTCTGAAGATGGAACTGACTATTTTAAGATTATTAGACGAGAACCTTAACCATTTACCTACCCAGTATAAAATATTGTTTACAAGTTTAAAAATAGTGAGGTATTGCAAAAGAATTTGCTCTTTCGTTGCCTAATAATATGTTTTGTACTACTATTCTAAAAAAGACCGTTGAATGTGTATTAGTTCGGTAAAATGTTATTCTTTTACTTGCTTCATTTTTAATTTTTCCTACCATACAGTTCTCTATGCCGTATATCTATCGTAGTTTTTTTTTTTTTTTAGGTTTTATTGGGTTTTTGAATGACTTTGTTATTTGTAGGATTTCTGGCCTAAGCACGGGATATGACTCCAGATCCAAAAACTTTGTGAAAATTTGTTTTCTACTAATCGTGATGAAATCTCTCAACAATTACCCATAAAAAATTTACAATATTTCATACTTAAATTCAGCTGTAAATCAATTTTTTACCATTCCAACTATACCCTCTATCCTCACTACATTCTATCTGTATATATACTGTATATATATCTGGATATATCCACAACATCAGAGCGTGTAAAGTTGTAGTAGCGGTGTTCCCACCATACGCAGCATTAGCCTAGACCTTCGAGACGCATGTTAATGGTTCGTAGCTGACATAACTCGCATTGTATTGTAATATGAGATGAGATCTGACTTGTGACGTATTGAAGCGGCCTGTCAACGGAGATATGATCAGCGGATACATCCGTCATACGCGTACATACGTTCATACGTCCCACATGCGTATCTGATGTCGGTGAGCTACGCTGCAAACTGCACTGCGCAGGTTCAACTTAAACAGGATTCGCGATTCAAATATTTGGAAAAGTCTGGGTTATCCTTAGTATAAAATTTGATACTGCATTTATCGAATGGTATCGTACATTGAGTCCTCGTAATCAGTCACTTTCAAGAATTAAACCGTGCCGAATCACAGATAATCTATAAGTATAAAAGAGGATGTTTGTATCATTGAATAGGTTTATACACCATCAATTTCGTGATCCGTCCAATCGGCTCCGCCCCAGTGGCTCTGGAGTTTCCCATGTTAACCTTATGAGAAATGGAATTAATGAATCTTAACAGCTGTTTCAATTAAACAAGTTGGTTCTGTTCTATGATGTTCAATAGCATTAAAGTTACAAGGATTACCAACAGGGTGCAGCACTATTATTTCTTTTACATTTATGACAACAGCTAATTTGCAACCAAAAGGTGAGTGAGCGTAGCGAACGAACTTCAACCAGGACGTGATTGAGCCATGCGAACGAGATCATCTTGAAAATTAAGAAGTTAAACGGGGCAAAGCCCGCGGGTTACAGCTAGTACTGTATAAAAAGTCCTCATTTGACGAATAGTGTAAGTATCCGCTGTTATATAGCGTCAAGCAGGTTGTTAATACATACATAGGCCTATAAGGTAATTTTCCCGAGATTGTCCAAAAACTGTCAAACCAAGTCTAAAGGCTTGTTTAGTGTACACAATAAATTTCTTATATTGAAGAATATATTTCCACACACAATATATTTCCGCATTAGTGGCTATGTTGGATTATTGGATGCCAGGCCACTAGGAGTTTCCTGAATTGTTAAATGGTATACAAGGGATTTCATTCATTTAAAAAACGTTGCTCTACTCAAATTTGCTAATATTATAAAAAACACTTTTCATCCCACACTGTTGTAAAAATCATTAATAGCTGAAAAAAATAAATCACACCCAGTCCATCATTCCTCTATTCTCTTCCTCTATGCCACATCATTACACTTTATATACATGTACCTCACAATCACCCGAAGCTATTGATAAGTCATACTACAAAATTCCACCCTATGCTAAATTCTTCTATTTTATCCCACGTTATTATAAAAACATTTCCTTTTCGAAATTCTAATCCAGCCTAAAGTTTTCCAAACTATATCGTCCCACCATACTTAAAACATCCCTCTAATTCAAGAAAAAATTTATTTCATACCGAGTACCCTTCACAATACAGTTAACCAACCATTTATATATCCTACTTCTCAAACAAGGTCAAAAACTCAACCCAAAAGTCTTCCACTCCTTCACTAACACCCCACTGACTGGCTGGGTAGCCGAGTGGTTAAATTGCTCACTTAACAATCAAAAGGTCGCCGGTTCGATCCTGAGAACAGCCAGTAGCTTATTGACGGTTCGAAACTGGACCATGCTGTTCATGATCATTTGGCTTTAAATAAATGATCCTGGCTAATGAAACAACTCATCTTAGTCAGTAACAAAGCTAAACAGATCGTCTCACACCATTCTACACTTATCCTTCAATCATATTTGGGTTAAGATACACACACCTAGGTGGCGTCCCCATCTCAATGATTGATTGATTGAGTTCCACTAAAATCATGAAAAGCCTTAGGATGTTTCAAGTCAGTATTTCTCCTGTAGACTTCATCTTTACAATCTTCCAAGGAGTATTTTTTCCAACTCCCATATTCGTATAGTATATCGCGCACAAGATGTACAGCAACACAGATTAACACGCACGAGTTTCCCAGACCCACGATGACGCAGCAAACTCCACAAAGCGAGGCGCGGTCAACGTCATACAAATTGTACACTTTAATTTCGTATTGAAGTGTTAAGTTGGCAGCATTGTCCCGCTTCCGTGTCCGGGCGGGGCGGTCGACCGTGTAACATGAATATCGTTATTACAGGTAACCTTCGTGTGATTGCCTCGTTGAAATTATAATGCGGATCGCCCAGGAATTCCGGTTATACGGGGATATCCGGTGTATCAGTATGTACCGGGCGGGTCGCCAATCTGTGTATTGTGCTGAGGTTGCCTCATCTAGCAGCGAGGTCGTCCATCCATCGTCACATGGGACTATCTGGGTCATCGAGAGCGTTAGGTTGCTGATATAGGATGCTGTGAAAACAGAGATGTAGATGCCTCCAACATAGTGACTAGAATCTCTAGAATCAAAGACAATGCAGAATGATGGCTTATCCTAGCATCTGGGTCAATCTAGAGCACTTGGGCAACGAAGTATAGCTGTTTGTGATGAAAATATTGATGAAAATACTTTGAAATAATGAAATTTTACGACGGAAATTTTTTGGATTTTTGGTTTGCAGAGTAAAAGAGTTTGGATGAAAAAGATGTTGTTGATGCCTTCGACATAGTGACATAGGCTAGAATCAAAGACAATGCGGAAGGACTTATCCTAACATATTCTGGTCTCCCTTAGTCATTCTGGCAACTTAGTATAGATGTTTTTGATTAAAATATTGATAATGATACCTTAACATAGTGAATTTTGGAATCGAAAATTAGAACTTGTAGTTGAAAAGTCATGATTTTTGGTAAATAGTGAATTCCAGAAGCAAAGCTAATGCTGAGTTTGGTGGTGATGTCTCATTTCAGCATTAAGGCAATCACATTGGGTAACCGAGTATGAATTTTGTGATGTAAAAACATTGATAATACACTTCACATATCTAATATCACAAATTATTTTATAAAGGCAAAATGGTGTAGGGTACTGGCTGAAAATATTTACTTTTTCTGCTCTAGCATGATTCACCCCAACCACTTGATCAAACTAGTCTCCAGTTGACTGTAGAACCATCCGACTGTAGCTAAACCAATCACACTCTATTATGTTCCAGGTGGCGGATGGATCTTCCAGTGCCCTCGAGGTTAACCGCGGACGTCATCGTGTGATGATCACCCGAGGACCCTCCAGGAGTCAAGCGGTGGAAGACCCTCGGCCACGGCGCTGCGGGGAGTCGTCTCCTGGAGTGCAGCGGGAGCTACTGGACTATTGCGAGAGTTGATGAACCAGAGGCTGATTAGGTTTAATGTGGTTTTGATATGAAAATCCCAATTTGCGTTTGTTCATGTAACAATCAGAGCTTGAAAATGTTTTAGTTTTAAATGTTGAACATTTGAAATGTCAAAATAAAAGAATATTCACATAAAACCAATATCTGTTTGATATTTACAATTCAATAACAACCACTTTTGCAGAACATTTAATATCATATATGTAAACTTTACTTTTTAGCAATAAATACGTTTAATTTTTCCTAGTTTTATTTCCTGTTAAGGAACTAACCCTACTGTTTTTATTTAAATATATAGACTTCATGATTAAAAATGCAACATAGTTGTAATAACCTAAAGTGGACATCATTTATTAAGAAAAGGTTAAGCTACATTTTTAATAGTGGTGCATAATCAATGGTGGGCTGACCGAAACAGTCTGAAGAAGGCCGTCAAAAAGTAAGTGAAGTGCAAAAAAAATGTGCAAAGTAGACAATAATTATAGCATATTTTGGGGAAAATGTATACACAAGTGACTTAACAATTACAAAAATGTTTATAAAGCCCTTATTTTATCTAGTACCTCTTTTATGGAAACAATTATAAAAGTTGTATTGTGCTATCACTTTTTATTTAAAATAAATAAAAGAAATACTAGGCAATTTATAAGGCTGGTTGATTTATGGAAAAGGCGTTTCTATTTAATTGTCTGTGCCTCTACTATCTTTAAAATTATTTAAGACTAGCAGAGTACCCGTCCTTCGTACGGGGTTGGCATATAAGTATAAAATGCTTATTGCAGTTATACTCGATCTTTGCGCTTGCAATGTGAGAAGACACGGTTTGAGAAAATTTGCTTCCTCGAATTTACGGTATGCTATAGTATTACACATCTACCATAGCCATAATGTTCTACCACTTCACCTACACAATAGAGAAAGAGATTATAAAAAATTCACAAAATATAACAATTTATTCGTGAATTAAAAAATAAACATAACTGTAAAGAATCCTACTTTTAAAGTTAATAAATAATGAAAAAAAATAATAATGCTGCACCCTGTTGGTAAATCTTATAACTTTTTAATGCTTATGCATCATAGAACCATAGACTAACCAACACAAGTAGACTTCTCATCCCATTGTAAATTTTGAAGCATGTTTTTCGTGTCTAGTTCATGTAAGTGACACAAAGGCGCTAGTGTCGATGAAACTTTGTTTCCGTTATTTTAGGGTTAGTTTCTTGATTTGTGCTTTACTGTTTGGTTATATAACTAGGGGACAAGTTATTGTTTATGATTAGATCGTATTATTTGGTTAAACGAGGTTTTAAATGGCTGTAATAACGGGAAACAAATTGTAAACAAAACATGACCTCTACATAAACCGTACATGAACTAACAATAAAATTATCTTCAGCTGTTCCATAAGGATGAGAAATCTACTAAGGGAGTATGTTTTATCTATGATAGAACCAACTCTTTTAGTTGAAACAGCTGGCTAAATTCTTTAATTCCCTTTAAATATGAATACTCATAAGGTTAACATGGGGAACTGCAGAGCCACTGGAGTCCCCAAAGGAATGCCCGAAAGGATTTTTGAAATAAGAATATGCCTATATGTTAATCGGGAATATGAGCTATCATCATGCCAAATTTTTAGCCCAATCCGACCAGTATTTTTCACGTTTACTTGTCACAAACATACATATATCCAAACTTTCTCATTTATAATATTAGTAGGACTATAAAAAATATTAGCCAATCAATAAAGTATAAAATATTTACTAACAATGAGTGCATACAATTACACACACATAAATAGTCTCCACGTAACATAAGGTCGAGTACTTGAATGGGGAGTTGTCCAAATAGTGTTTTTACACATTAACACAAAATTTGGGGGTGTAGCAGCTGCCAGGCCCCGGGGCCCGTCATCACCACTCAACACTTCACTACTCCCCCGCCACGCGCCGGACCCGCGCTCACATTATTATTTTGACAAATTGAAATCACTTTAGTCAATTATTTTATTGATGGTTCCACATCTGCGAATGTTGTCATCAATTATGTGATCGCCCTCGTTGATGCCTCATTTGGTAAAACATTGTGTTTCGTGACTTGTTTAGTGGAAGGTTCGTATGTTGAGGAGTTGAAGATTTTATTGGCAAATGGCTAGGTTGATGTTCCAACAGCAAAGGTTGCTATTGTTAATTTGTTGGTTGCAAGGTTCTAATGTGTTTGAATGCGAGGTTTTCAGTGAATCTTTTTGGGTTACTTTGACGAGTGAATTATCAGTGACGGTAGGAATTTTTTGGTAGAATGCATCGTGTTTCTGGTCAAGAAACCTTGAGTGCGAGGTTTTAATGAAACAACTGAGAACCAATCTTAATTAAGAAGTGAATACAGTAGTTTTATGTTATGTTGAATTATACCAACTTTACAGAGAAGGTATACATTGCAAAATTAAAACCTAAAAATAAGTCCTAAGATACATCATTGCTGAAATATTGAACTCAAGTGGAAATGAGAAAAGAAGAAAACGCAAAACCAATTTCCTAGTATTCCTTAGATGACAAAAAAGTTTTATTTGAGCTGGTCAAGCTATTATTTCCCCCGAAACAATATAGTTTTAAGAGCCCAATTAGACTTCCCTGCTTCTATATAATTGTCTACATCTCAATCACCTTACCTGTAGTCAATCAAAAGATTTTTGTAGAAAGAGTATAGTATGAACTTGAATATAGATTATTTTTTATGTAGTTTGATCAATGTAATCCACAGCTGTAAAATACTTCAAGCACCCGTAGATAACTTGTTAATTGTTCACTTGCATTGATCATTCTCATAACAGTGTGCAGAAAGGGCGACAAGCCTAGTAATGTAAACTTTAGCTTGCCCTAAACTTTGTAGAGAAAACAGCTGATAAAAGTTTATAACACTGGCAGTACGACAAATAGTTGCCACTCATCATCAACAATAATCTGTGTTGACTGGAGGCGGGGCTGACTTGAATAATTTGACACGTCCGCCAGGTGGGCGAACTGACGGTAAACGATCCTGATGGGACTGTAAGACTCTGGAAGGACAACGAAATTCAGGGCGAAATGTACTACCTACAACTGTTTTGGTAAGGTTTCTGATATTTGCACAGGAATAATATACTATTTAAAGTTAAATTGCAATTTCATGTCAGATGGTATGGTGATAAATACAAAGCACAATGCTGAAACTTGGGTACACCTTTCAGTCTTTCAGTCTTTAACTCTACTGTTTAATTTCGTCTAGTATAGAAATGCAAGCATGAAGGAGAGACACGAAAAGAATGCTTACGTGAATACAAGTGAAGGATGGGTGTAGAATGAACTTAAATACCATTTTTAGCTTTATAACTAAATAATATCTATATTCGGCCATTGACTGTTTCTTGAGCCTGGTGACCAAGGACAGCTGGACCAGTTTCGAATCATCAAAAGGTGACTGTATTTTTTAGTATTGAACCAACGACCTAATGCTTTACTAACTCTACACTATACCTACACTCAGTTACCGAGCTCGTCTATAAAGTTAAACTAAACTCGTTTCAGTAAGTGCCCATTTAACAGAGGCTGTTTGATTTAATAATAAGTAAAAGCTCTTGATCAAATTCAAAGAACCAACCAACTGACTACAGTCTTGCTAAAATCAAATTGTCCCACACCCAACAACAAACTTACATAACAACATTCCCACACCCGACTTACAACGTATCAACCTTTGGCAACGTACAGCGTAAACGATAATGCTGATACTAGTCAAAATACATTACAAAGTACACACACTGCCAACTAATACAGTCCTTGATACAAACTAGACTTAATGAGCCTGTCGTACAGTTGACACTGTAGTATGAATGTCTCCGCGCGCTCCCACAATATTATATCCGTTGCGCGCATTTTTCTCGATCGCGCGGGTCTATTTTATCTCAAAGTGGTCGTCAGTGGGCAGAGGTGTACTGATTGATGATATTTCGGGTTCACACGCGCGGAATAAAATAAAACAAGCCGAGTCCATCTGGCCGCGACATCTGTTGGAAGGAATGCCACGACACGGGTTTCTTCTCTTTAATCGGCTGTGTGTTATGTTTCATTATATTTGATGATGTTGAATTAGAAGATCGACGACTGATATGGTTCTCAACGTGGGAACTTATGGTTGTGGTTATGTGTTCGGGAGTTATTACTTGGGGGGGGGGGGGGGGGGTGTATATGGGGTGATGCATGTACTAGTGACCGTTTTTGTTTGACGATCACTGTTTGTGAACAAAAATATTCATTGTCACCACCAAATCACGATAACACAATGCGTTTGCGACCAGAATAGCATTTGGACAAATGTATGTGAAGTTGAAAAATAGAGAACAAGTCGTTGTCTTTTGTGTGTATTCTATGGTCAGAAAGAATTTACTGTATACGTTATAAACATTAAAATGTCCAAAATATCGCAAACACTTTCTCGGAAATTAAGGTAGCTTGGTTAACATAATTATTTTGATTTTTCGTGGGTGAAGTAATGTAATGTTTTTAAAAAAGATTGTTACCCTTACTTTCACTATTTTTGACAAAAACACCGTAAAGGATATAATGCCGTGAGGAATACAATGAAATATTAAAATATAAGACTTGTGTAATACGCTTAGTTTACAATCTCTTGTTTAGTTTATCACTTAAAAATTTCATCCCCGAAAACAATCTCCTTGATAAAATTAAAGGGGTTCGAACCATCATTTCAGAAAGAGTTCAAAACTCTTCTGCTAACCAACCTATAAGTTACTAACGTACATATTAGCAGAGTATTTTGAAAGCTAGGGTTTGGGTTAATTAACGCCAAAACGCATTGAACTTAGCTAGAGAGAAAAAGGTTGTAAATTGTCTATGTAGAAATATACATGGTATATGACGTTATCAAGCAGACCTGGATGTGCATTCAAGATAGATCAATGATCAATTATCAATTATCAATTGAGAGTTGATTCAGGTGATTTTTATATATTTATAAAGAGTCTGCAAACATATATAAAATGTAGGATACAAAATATTCGTGCACTGCACGCCTCCCCCCCCCCCAAAAAACAAAAACCAATTCAATACAAATGTAACGCTTAACAGCCACTTTATTGCCTGGCTAATGTAACAACACAAAA